ACACACACACACACACACACACACACACACACACACACACTGTGGACTCACACTCTCCTCCTTGACCTTCTCCATGGTGCAGCCCGACAGCTGCCCCTGCAGTGGCGGCGGGGAAACCCCGTTCTGCTCCATGGCCACAAACAGCTTCCCGTTGACGTTGAGCGTCGGATAGAACACCTGCACACACACACACACACACACACACACACACACACACACAGACGCACAGGTGTGAAGACTGTGGGATTATATATGAACATTATGGGATTATATGTTAAATCTGTGTGATTATATGAAATTACAGGGTTGCATGTAAAAGGCATGAAGTTACAGAGACAATGGGATTATAAGTGAAACCATTGGGATTAGAAGCAAAAAATATTGGATTACACGTAAAAACAATGGGATTATATTGGAACACGATGGGATTATATGTAAAAACTGTGGGATTAAATGTGAAAATGATGTGATTATATGTGAAATCCATGGGATTACATGTGGAAACTGGGATTACATGTAATACCATGGGATTACACATGAACACCACGGGATTACTTATGGTAACTGTGGGATTACATGTAAACTCTAAATGTCTGGTAACGTCTCAGCGGACCTGGGAGCTCCGGCTGGCCGTGCTGTAGGTGCTCGGCCTCCGTTTGGGCCACGGATGGGGCAGGATGCCGCTGAAGGTGCCGCCGCTGTAGGTCCGACCGCCGACGCCCTCCACCACGTCGCCCGGGACGCTGTACTCGTCGTCGGCCATCTCGCCCTCCGACCCCCGACTCCTCAGACGGAAGTTAAAGATGGAGGAAACCTGACTGCTTCTCCGAGTCCTGGAGGAGAAGGACCGAGCGAGCAGCGGGTGGAGGGGCTGCAGGANATTTTATTTTTACGCCTCATGTCACTCTTTTCCAGACGTCTCTCTTTATCTCCGGCTCACACTCAGCAGGTGTGCCGTGTTTCCTCTCGTTCGCTGAGCAGCGCTCGTCACCTGCGTATCTGTTGCCGTGGCGACAGGAAACACTGCCATCCACTACGTTTGACCCGTCTGACCCGAATCCGTGTGTCGTCGTGGTAACAGATGGAGGCAGCTCGACTCGTGAATGAACCCCAGAAGATTGTTTTGGCGTCTTTTACAGCGAAGAGACGACGTTTCCTCGTTCAGAGTTTCCTCCAGAAGCAGTTCGACACACCCTGGCTCATTTGGTTTTAACTTTCAGTCGTTTTTCTTCACTGTGGCCTCGTTTTGTTTTTTTTTTTAATCATTTTCTTCACTTAACATGTGCATCATTTTTCTCTCACTGTCACCAACAGTACAGACTACATGCACCGTAGATGTTTAACTATCCAACTTTTCTGAAACCAGCTGTTGATTTGTGTTTCCTTTATGTCGTTGTGCGTCTCTGCGACAGTGTTTTTTCTTGTGTTTGTTTGTGCTGAAGTCGTTTTGCGTCTCTTTGTGACCGTTTTGTCTCCTCGTCCTGCAGACGCTGAACCGTCTCCAGCTCGCTGGAGGACAGACGGCCGTTGATGTTTCAGTGTTTTGGAGGTCATGCGGTTCTGTGCAGCTGCTCGTCTCAGGAGGAAATAAAAAGCAGAAACCTGGTGGAAAGTTAACACAACCTGCACACACGCAGGTTTCTCACCTTTTCTGCTCGTGTTCTCTGAGTGAGTCATGCGGAGAAGGTGTGATCTGATTATCATCTCCGCTGGACGTCACACAGGATTCATGTTTGTGTCCAGACTCACAGCTGATCGACTGGATCAGTAAACAACCCGACGGACTAACGGTGGAGTCGAAGCGTGGCCCGGTGCTGGTGCCACCGCTGTACAGTCAGAATACAGCAGAGACGCAGCTTCAGCGTCCTGCACGGGCCCAGAACAGAGGACGGCAGATAAAACCCAGCAGGCAACGCAGCAGCAGCTGATCCACATCACCACAAAGAGGTGTGGAACCGCCACGAGGAGATGCAAAATGACCTCTGAGAGATGCAAAATCACCCAAAAAAGGCGCAATATCACAACAAAAAGGTGCAAAATCATCACGAAAAGGTGTGGAACTGCCACTAAGAGATGCAAAATCACCAAAAAACATGAAATCATAGGAAAAAACTGCAAAATCATCACGAAAAAGACGCAGCATCACTGAAACAAGATGCAAATAACCCCAAAGAGAAGCAAAATGACCTTAAAAAAACAAACAAAAACAAAAACCGAAATCCCCAAACGTGAAAACTATGAAACTGTGGGATTAAATGTAAAGATTCTGAGATGACAAGTAAAAATGAGGGATTATATGTTGACATCAAATGGGATTAGACACCAAAACTATGGAATTATCTGTGACATGTCATGGGATTACAGATTGAAAACAACTGGAAACTACAGGATTACATGTAAAAAACTAAAAAACTACAAATGAAAATGTTGGGATTACCGATTAAAACTATGGGATTACAGATTAAAACTATGAGATTACAGATTAAAACTATGAGATTACA